ATATATATATATAAGAATATTTAAAGTTCTGTTGTGCATCTGTTTTATACCCTGTGTGTGTGTGTGTGTGTGTGTGTGTGTGTGTGTGTGTGTGTGTGTGTGTGTGTGTGTGTGTGTTTTAGGATTACCTTTGTTCAGGACACCCTGCTATCTGTATGTGGCTGAGCTCTGTGCTTGTCTGCGTCAGGCTTCGCACAAATATTTTATCTCATTTGTCAAATGAAAAAGACAAAAAGAAATGAGGAAAAGGAAAGCCGGTGGCCGTGTGTTGTGTTGGAGCTCACTTCTGCTTCGCACACAGTTAACCCGTTAAAATCAATTCCTCATCTTCTTCTTTTTGTCTTTTTCTTCTTCTTGGATATACCACCTTTTCGTCTGTGTCATCCTGAACTCTTCTCTGAGTCCTACTGTACATTTGAAAGCGAGAAAAAAAAATGTTTTTGTTTGTTTCTGTTGGTTTCTTTGACATTTTTAAGAATATCACCTTTCATTGAATGCGCACCGAGCCCAACCCCGGTGTGAGTCCACTAGTGTCGTACATTTGAACCTTTTCTGAACAGCAGGATGTCCCTCTCATGAGCTTTAGGTGAACTTAAACCTCCTTCAGTGTTCTGTGTCTTTACTGGGCTCGCGTGCTGACCGATTTCAGTTCAATTACGAGCTTTCAGGCTCAGTTTAAAGGACACTGTTAAACTGACGCCAACACTGACTGTGGCAATCTCTGTGATATGTTTACATGTTGTTGTTTTATATCTCTGTGTTTCTTTCGTTTGATGGAACTTGTTGCCTGTAGCAATCAAACCTCCTCTGACAGGCGATGATAATTACCAACAGCGTGTTGAGGTCACTCCTGATCGTAAATGTGGTGTGTTAATAATATTTAGCTGTGTGACGGAAGGGAGGAAGATTCAGCGCACATGCGTCGAAAACCATCTCCGCTCTCGTGCGCGGTGCAGAAGTGTGTTAATGGGTGTGTGTCTGTGGAGCACATCAGAGCTCTCTGTAGGGAGGAAGCGGCTCCCGTCTCTCCGTAGTATGCTTTTGGCCAATTGAGGCGGTCGGGAAGCCGATGGCTGATCCGTCAGACTCGGAGTAGATTCGTCGATTAACCGACCACGTTGGATGTTTCGCGCACAGACGCAACGCAAGCTTTTTGCCTCTTGGCGCGGTTTCACCAGGAACACGAGACGAGAGAGCAGAAACTGGACTGCAGGTCAGATTTGAGAGCGACCTCGGACAGATTCGTAAGCACTGAAGAAGTCTTCGAGCGATCGACGACAGAATTGTGATCAACTGTAAGGTTTCAGATTCAACGACAATCGAAAGCGAAACCAAGCGAAAGGGTTCCTCTTTCTCCGCTATGTTTGTTTTCTTCGGTTCCACCTAGAAACCAAGTGTTTTCCTGCTGAATTCCACCTTCTCAGTAAACCAGCAAGTGCATGAGGTTGTGGAAATAAAGAGATTTCGATACTTTGTACTCAGATGTTCAAAATCTGAGCACTGATTTCAAGCTGGTGGCTCCCAAAATCCGTTTTTTGTTCTTATCTTGAACTAAGACTTGAACAGGGCCAATATTGTCAGCTGAATTGGAGCTCATCACAGATATATTATATGTGTGGTGATAAGTTACTGCGTCTCCATTACATCGTTTTAAGTGGTACTTATCGAAAAGAAACAAATAGTGGTTGATGTAGTACATCAACCAATCAGATATCAGTACCTGGTTGCTGGTTGCTTCATAGATTTGTCCCTCTGTGCTCTCGAGTCCTCACTAATTCATTACAGCTGGCTTTATTAAGTCCTGACATTTGGTTTCTCGCTCAGTAGTTTTGTCACTAAAAAATCTTTCAGTTGGAGTCGCGATCGACGCTTTAATCTCTTCAGGCTGTCACAGTTTTGCATTGTGATTAAAGCGCCGTCGACTGCAGCTGCAGTTGTGATTTTCTGTGTGTAATTGGAACCTGAGTGTGTGTGTAATCACACACACACACACACACACAGTCCATCTGCTCTCAGCTGGCTGCTACTAGTGCTACATGGACTGCTGCCTCACGCACACACACACATTCAGATCAGTACGTGTGCCATCTAATGTGGCGGTGCCAGTTTCCCCGTCTCCACTGACATTTTAAACATACACATACATACCAACACACACACACACACACACACCTTCTCCTCCTCCCGTGTGTAAACATGATGGTCCAGCCATCTGCTGGAGAGAGTGAAGCACGTGTCAGGTTCCCTGGTGGAGTCATTAATCTCAAGCCCTGAGCCTTTTGACCGCGCACGCACACACACACACACATATGCAGGGTCAGGTTGGACAACACAAACACTACCCATGCTCCCTCAGGCTCCCCCGTCCAGTCCCGGTCCGGTCGGTTCAGCAGATACACTGTTAGCAGTTTGTTCGACCTCCAGCCTGTGTTTACCCATCATGCACCTCTGCTGCACTCTGGCAGGGGCCCACAAACCAGACGCGTTGCTACGGCTGTTCATTGGCGGATGTTCATTAGCCAGCTGAGGAGTCAAATTGAAAGTCAGGATCTGAGAGCACGTGTGTGGAAATGTGTCACCAGTTGTAGCGAGCTTGCTGCTCATGAGCAACGTTTGTGCCAATACAATACGCACGTTTTGGTACAGACACTTCATTACTTTAAGATATATACATTTTTCAACATTCAACCAAGTTGCGAGATCTCTCAAATGTTAACTGTTGTACAACACAAGCATCTCTAGAACACGTTTTCTGAAACAATTTAAAATCAAAAACCATCTGATCAAAAAAAAAAGCACTCAAGATGATAAATCTCTCCTGATCATTTGACTCCAGCTCCCAGTACTTGACCGTTAACAATACTCTGTGAAAACTGTGCAGACCAATCTATCCATGTAGTTTCATTATCTTGTATCTATTACTACCGTTCTCACACTGTAGTTATGACATTAATTCACTTCCTTACACGTTAGTGAGTCCTGTCAAAGCAGCTGTGGCAAACTCTCCGAACCGAAAGTTAAAACTTAGTTTGAGCGTTGACCAAATGAGGATTCTGAGCATTCAAAACGTGTGCAGAAGACTCTGTCCCTGCCTGCTGCCAGATATCACGTCATGGAAGCATCAGTGGTGGTTTTTGCACTGATAGGCTTCCGTACTCCTCTGACTCTGAGCATGTAGAGTAACCTGCTCTGTCTGTGAGGCACATAGATGATTCAAAACATGTGACTTTGGGTATGACGAGGTGTAGCCTTATTACCACTAACACATACACATACACACACACACACACACATTCTGAACCACATTACATGAGATTCAGTGATGTTTCAATGTGCAGTCCGTTAAGCTCGTGTCTGTCTGACGGGGTCCAACTGACTTTCATGGACTTGACTCTTGCAGACGAGGGCAGTGTTTTGTGTTTGTCTTTAAAGAGTGATGACGAGGAGGAGGAGGAGGAGGGAGCTTGAGGAAGACGTCGAGAGAGAGAAAAAACATTGCTAGAGTAAAACCAGTGCAATATCTTTTTATTTTTTATTGTGGTAAAAGCATGTTGTTGTCAATCTTACCTTACAACAATAATAAAGTTTTTTTTATGTACGCTTTGGTTTCTGCAGCGTCTTGATTGTGTTTCGTGATGTCGTTGTTTCTTTCACTTTGCTTTATGTGGCACATCATGCTTTTAACATTAAGGCTGCCCCTTTTTTTGGAGAGCGATTTCTGCCGCTGAACTCACATTAAGTCAGAAACAATAAATGATGAGTGGCTCTGGGTTTAATCCACGCCTCAGGCTGCTGCTACACTGCAAAAACATCTCTGTCTTATCAAGTCACCTCTATCTGTAGTCGAGTCTTTATTTTGATGGCATTTTCCTGGTAATAGTCAGATTGACTCTCCGTGTTAATTGCATTAGTTGAGATCCAGGAGCACGGACACATTGCTATAAAGAGGTCCGACTCAACCAGAAACACTACGAGAAATAAAACTCTTTGGCTTCAGACAAGTGCAAAAATAATTGTTTGTATTTTCTAAATTCTGGAGTAATTTTGTCATATTCGAAACTCGACGCCTGAGGTTCCCTCTTGTATTCTTGCATCTCCCTCCGAGCCTCACCTGGGTAAAATTACACACCTCACTCAACACACCTGGTCTTGATGCCGGATCCTCATCAACCACATGTACAGTATAACCTGCAAGTAAGGTAAACTGAAGAAAGCTCTTTTGTCTTCTCTTTTCGTCTAGCAATGTTATCTTCACCATATCTACTCAGACTATAAGTGAGCGAACTTTAACTTTTTTGTGACTGACGTGCCAAATACATTTTCCAAACTGAGTTCAAAGGTACCCTGTGTGGTTTTTATGAAAACCAAGTCTCCCCAAAAGGAGTTGTGTATCCTTGAGGCCTAACAAACGTGTTGAATGTACTATATTTCTACAATTGTACTGTGTTCAATCTACATCTGCATAATGTTGTTGATGTTGTATTGACCTCTTTCAAGGAATAATAATCCAGTAGCTGAAATATAGATAAATAAAGAATAGATTCGTAGTGCACCAGAATGCTTCAGTTAATAATAATA